TCAAAGAGGTGCTAAGGAAATTCAATTGCAGGCAGATAAAGGTGAGTTATCAGGACTGGATCCTTCGAAGTTTACTGCAGCATCGAGAAGCAATTTTTCTGTATGAAAGCAAACGTCCATTGGCAAATCACTGCGGTTTGGAATCCTGCCAAAATGGCTAATTTTTGCGGACACCGCTTTACAATGTTTGTTACTACATTGGCGGCAAATGCATTTAAGCACCTAACAGCAGAGTTGCAGCCTCAAGTGCCCTACCGGACCGTCCTGTTGTAGACAACCATCAATCGGCAGTTGGCGAAAGGGCACGGCTCGGAGTGCTGCCAGCGACAGATAACGCGTTACGTTAAGAGATGTATAGCCATTCTGTGATGGTGGTAAGCAGTTGATACCAACCAGCTACTGACTTACAAGGATGTATGTTAGTAGTTGGTTGCAGAAGAGTACCTTTGAAGACCTTATTGTTTAGTACTGTTTCGTAGCCGAATGTGAATTGATGTAATTAAATTGTTGACAGTTTTGTTACAGCTGCGTCGAAAATACTTTTGCTAAATTAATAAGTACGATTAACTGTACTCCGTTGTAATGTGGTCAAAAGTAGTTTTTAATGAGCTGCTGTTTAGTTCACAACTATCCATCGTTGCATTTGTGGAACTTTTGATTCTGTTGAGTTTTGTCGAGTGATTTGCTGGAGGGTTTTCTAAGTCATGGTTTATAATTCGCGAATTTTTAGAACTTATTTTTATTAGCGGCTATGGATGAGAGATGGAGAAGCTGTGTGAGTAGGTTGTTAAAGTCGTGGACTGGATACCAGCTAGGGATCAATATGCAGTCTGGTGGTCCGGAAACCAGTGCGAAGGCTCAGTGGTTTTTAGAGGTATTCTTTATTAGTAAAGCTAACTTTATCGACCTCTGAGGGCGTAGTCTTTTCGTATTTAAATTTGTGAGAGGACTCGTTGCAATTTTAGGAACTTTCCAATTTTGTTTTGAACGAACAAGATCTAGGAGAGGATGAACTTGCAGATTGGATGAATCAGATTCTTTTCAATGATTTCGACCTTGTTCTTGAGGTAGGCATATTAAATGTTTTTTAGCGTGTTACCTCTTCTAATAAGCTTTTGTTGAAATTATTTTTTGTTTCTTTTTTGGAGTTTCAAGAGCATTAAAAGAAAATTGCAGAGTTTTAGACTTTTTTCTTTTATTACTAGAACCTAAATGTAGTTTTTTAGATTTTTGCAGAATAACTTGTTCAGTTACTCTTATTTGGCCAGAAGTTTAAACGAGTTTTTCAGGATGACAGCACAGACTGGATTGCCCAATCTCTTTTGAATTGTCGGAAGTGGCTCATAAGTGATGAAAGTCGATTAAACAATTTTTTACACTCTTTGCCTTCTGAAGATGCTGTACAACAGGCAGCGAGTCAGAGTAAAACTGCAATTTCGGAAGACTCTGATTCTGATAAAGAAATGAAAGATGAACCCTTAACTGAGTCGACACCACAAAAAACACGAGCGCAGCAACTGCGTATGGTCACTGATGAGGATGGTTGGACCACTGTATTGCCTCGGAAGTGAGCATATAAGTTTCCAGTTTTTGTTTTTTTTTTTTTTCTTGTTGGGGGGGTGGGGTTATTTCTCAGTTTTTGATTGTTTTTGTGGTTCTGAAAAGTTGGTTAAGAAGTTTTTATAGCTTTTTCTGTTTTTATATTTAGTTCTTATTTGAACGGGTACTATTCTTTCTTCATTTTCATTGCTTTTTTCTTTTTATCTTATTTTTTTGAGAAGAAATAGTTTGGTGTCGACAGTCAAATTTTTTGAAAATTTTAATTATTTATCGATGACTTTCAAAGTAATTTTTAATTAGAATATTCGTTCTGATGTTTCAGAATTCTAAAGAGCATATTATTCTGCAAGGAGTTTTTGTTTTTATTGTCTTTCGAGTACTCACTTTTAGTAAAGAGTAAGAATTTGGTGTTCTACTTGATTTTTTCATTGTTACAAAAGATTGTGTGCTTTATGTTGTTATCATATGTCACAGTTTGAAGGAAGGAATCAGATTTTAAATAGTAATTACGTGAATAAAGAGATATTTTGTTTTCATGCTACTTCTGTTTACTGGTTCGGGCCCAGGGCATCATGTTCTTTTTTTGAACGTTAATTGTTCATTCAGTAAAAATTTTCATTGTAATGAATAATTTTTCAATTTGTGTTGGGCACGTAAGCGGGCGTGCTTGCTTAGCGGTTGTCTGAAGGCATTTGAAAATACGGTTGATCTGCTCTGCTTAAAATGCTTGCTACTTTATACTTTCTTGGTTGTTCGTTATTTGTACAAAATCGATTGTCTTGAAAAGGTGTGGCTGGTGTACCGGTCTGCATGGAGTCGGTTACACTTGTGGTTTATTTTTAAGGCTGAGGAGCAATGCTTGGGTACGCTGACGTCAAAGATGCCCTTTGCGAGTTGACAAAGGAATGTGGAGTTTTATGGGAGGAGAACAAAGACATGCAGGGCCGATTTGTGAACGATCTTACTGAGCTGCAGAGGATGCAGCTTGCGATACACCGGCTCGAACGAGATAACAAGTGAGGTTATTTGAGTTTCTGAGATACTAAAAGCTTTCATCAAAAAATGTTTTGAGACTGTTTTTTATTAAGGGCTTGTAATGTTCATTTAATGGATTTGCTTTATTCAGGGGGGACAAGTTAGTACAAATACGAGCGTCAATGCAAGAATTGCAAAGTAGAGCGAGCAAATTATACGAGTCTCTGACAGAAAAACGGTATCTTTTAGTACAGAAGTTAACGGAAGGGGTTCAGAATGTGGCAGTGTTACAAAACCAGTTAATCAGTGAACAGTTATATGACTGGAAAAACAGTCAGAAACTCTCTCAAGTCGGAGTCCCCTTTGAAAATAGAGATCAACTGCTTGATGAAA